TCCCCAACCAGCAAGGGGAATTCTGGGAGTTGAAGTCCACACATCTTCAAGTCGCCAAGGTTGAGGAACCCTGATCTAGAGCACTTAGCAGACTCTGCCTGATCTTGGAAAGAGCTACGCAGGGTCAGACTTGGATGGAGGGCCACTAAGAAATCCTTGATTGTAGGCTAGACTAGGATAGTCAAAACTATCACAGAAAAAGATAGCAATCCACTTCTGTATTGCTAGAACAAAAGCAGCACGGGCATATCCACATAGTTACCAGGAGTCAAACTTGATCTGAAGGAGTCGTTTGGGTTTTGTTTCTGTTTAAGAAGCTTGATAACTTCTTGCATCTCCTTCCACTCCTGGGCTATTGGAAGGACCCAGAAGCCCTCCCCATCCTGAAGATAGATTTCTCCTAGAAAAATGACTCATGGTGTTTATTTGCCATTGATCTCCTGCTTCACCTACCCTTTTGGGGTGATGTGGAAAAAATTATACATTTAATTATACCTTCCAGCTTCTTTCATTGCAGTAAATGTTTCACACTCACAGTAATACAGATGGATACTCATATACCCACATATATTGTTTGTGTGCACACAAATGCAGACATATATGTACAGACATGTACATACTTCTGCATATAAATATCTTATTCCAAATGCAAGGAATGACGTTACAGATGCAGAAAAGGATATCCCAGTGTTATAGATGCACATTGCAATTTACAGAAGCTGGAAAAAATAATACGTGCAAATAATAAGGACATCTATTGACTTGAAAAATATGAATATTTGTGTATTTTATATAACAGGGACGCACAGTAGACAGGCCTATGTGTGCATGGGCATACACAACTGACTTGTGGAATGTAACATTCTTATTTTTCACATCATCTAAAAATCTGAACTTTCAAAGACAGCCATACATTGTGGAGAAACTTGAATTATGAAATGGAGGAAGCAAGACAAATGTTGAGTCTTTCTTCCTGTTCAGTTTATTGGATGCAAATTTCCTTTACTCATTTGTTTTGGACTGTATTTGTGTCCTGCTAAGTATAGTTTGCATTCTTGATCTGAGTGCCTCCCTGGTCCCATTATTAGGGGAGTACCCCTGGGGTGATGCCATCATGAAAATGGGGACTAGCTGGCCTGGTGTATTCTGGAAATCCTAAATCTCTCTTCTCTGACTAAGTTTTCTCTTTAGTCTTTGCAGACCAAAACCATGGTTTCTTTTCTGCCCCTCTTTTTACAGTGGTAGCACCAGCCTCACAGTGAGCGGGACCCACCTCTTGACAATTCAAGAACCACGGGTTCGAGCTGCTTATGGCGGGATAGAAACCATCAATGTGAGTCTTCTGTGGCAGATGAAAACCTAGCGGAATCTGAGCTTAGATCCTTGCATAAGGAACAAAGAGAGAACGAGAGAGGCTGTTTCCAAAAGTAGATTAATTTGTTGGTCGGGGTGGGGGGGTGAGTTGCATAGTCCATGTTTATCACACTATTCCAAGGCTCAATGTGACATGAGAACATATTGCAGCCCTGGGCGAACTGTGCTCCTGGGTTTGCATACAACCCACTGCAGTTAAAATTAAAATTAACTTAGGCATTCACTGGGTAGAAAGAGGGTGAAGGGAGACAGGATGGTCCCGCAGCCTGCCTTCTTATTTTGTAGCCTCCGACAGATTATTACTAAGTGAAAATGGCCTCGACCAAAAATTATTACCTGCCCATATCATGTACTGTATTTGGAATTCCCTTGAAGGACAGACAGGAACTAAAAATGACAAGATCTAAAAATAAGGTTGCTTTCTTCAAGTGACCCGAGAGAAAAAGAATTTACAGTATCTCAAAGATACATTTGGGAGTGAGGTGGAGAATGTGGTGACTCTCCTTAGGATCTAGCTGATTGTGATGAGGAGATTCATGTGGCATGGATCCAGCTAAAGTACTGAATGGTACATGGGCCTTGGTTAAGTCTGAATTGTATACATTCAGAAGGCTATCCACCACGTGATTTTCTTCTTCATGGATTCCTGCTTCTGTAAGCAGATGCTGTTCTTAAACGTGTTTCAAATCCAAAATGCATAGAGGATGCCCAGAATATTGGACTGCTGGGAACAGCCCTCCCTTCCAAGTCTTTGAAAAGATGCCTATAGTTGAGAGCTAAGAGAAAAGCAAAGACCCAAGCCGAAGAGAAGACTATATATTTTTTTACCTAAGAATGGGCACCGGGATGAGGGCTGGTCTTAGAAGGCCAGGGCTGATGGATGACCTCCATGGGGGTTGTGTGTTTTTTCTGGTTTGCCTCCCTGCAGAGTTGCCAGGTGCTAAATGACTCCATAATGTTGTGCAAGGCCCCGGGCATTATACCTAGGGAGCAGGCACTGCCCCTTGGAGGTGCTCACCCTGATGAGTTTGGCTTCCTCTTGGACGATGTGGCTGCTACCCGTACCCTGAACCGTTCTGCTTTTACGTACTACCCAGACCCCACCTTTGAGACGTTTGGGCCCAGTGGCATACTGGAAATTAAACCTGGATCCCATGTTGTCCTCAAGGTATTGAAGCAGTTTGTATTGGGGCTTTGAAAATGTAATTGTAATGAGCTTCCCAGTGTTTAAAAAAAATGAGTCTGTCTAGAGCAGTGTTTCTCAACCTTAGCCATTTTAAGATGTGTGGACTTCAACTCCCAGAATTCCTCAGCCAGGATCCTGGCTGGAGAATTCTGGGAGTTGAAGTCCACACATCTTAAAATGCCCAAGGTTGAGAAACACTGAGCCTGCTTGCTGGAAGCCACACTCATGACAGATGATTTTCTGCAACATTTAATCCTTTTGGTCAGAGATAAGCTGACCCAGAAGAACAGAGGGTCAGTATGCTAGTATAGCAAGCATGTATTTTTGTGATTGAGCCACACAAATGCAGAACTGGATCAGGAGTATGAGTTTTAATGTTCTGAGTATCTCATCTGTGGTTTTTCCCTTTCATGTAATGTAACTTTTTAGGCCTTTAGCTACATAAAAGATTCATGACTATATAAAGGAATTTTTGGAAAAAAAGTAGAATCTAGTGCAAGATGACCTAAAGAGTATTCTAAGAATCAGGGACTGTACTCTAAATCTTTATCTTTCTCCATGAATAAGATAATTATGGAAAATATGCAATTGCATTCAAGATAACTTTTGGATATATTATCTTAGTTGCAGAGAATGCAGGGTTTATATCTGTGGAAAGGTAAAGCTTGCCAGAAGGGGCAAGGCATGTTGCACAATATGTCCCTGACTATCAGCTCAGAAGGACAAGAAATCCCGGCATTATTTTACCCTACTGTTTAGTCAAAACGTTTCCTGAATGGCTTACGATCAATTAAAAAAACAGTGCCTGCTCCCAGGCTACCAACTAAAAGACAAAAAGACATAGCATAGTGGGAAAACAGGATGCTGGGGTGGGGGTGTGGATACGACTTCAGGCACTAATTTGTAAATATTCTTAAAAATAACCACGAGAATATAGTTTCATGGAGAGGAGGAGGGTGTCGAAACAGGATGCTGGGGTGGGGGTGTGGATACGACTTCAGGCACTAATTTGTAAATATTCTTAAAAATAACCACGAGAATATAGTTTCATGGAGAGGAGGAGGGTGTCGCTATTGTCTTTCAGCAAGAGATGATAAAACAGTCCCGGTCTCCCCTTAGTCTCTCTTCCTAGTCTCTAAGTGACTCCCAAATATTAAATTAGCTCCCAAATCGAAACTCAGGGTGGTATGATTGAACAATCCCTATATTTTTCCTCTCAGGGCCGGAACCTGATCCCTGCAGTATCTGGCAGTACGCGACTCAACTACACAGTGCTGATTGGTGGAGAACCTTGCACCCTGACTGTCTCAGAAACCCAACTGTTGTGTGATTCGCCAAGCCAAACTGGAGAGCAACCAGTCATGGTACACCTGATTTGGGGGCGGGGCTGAGTAAGGGGCTTCAGTGGCTTGAGCCATTCTGGGAAGTATCGTTAATGTCATGGGCAGATCAGTACTTGTCCATTTGGTGGCATTTTACAAGTCTTAATGCAGATAGTCCTTGCTTAGCGATCTCAGTTGGGACTGGCAACTCCGTTGCTAAGCACCACAGTCGTTAAGGGGAACATCACGAGACTCTGCCTTGTGATTTTACTTCTGCATTCTCCATTAATTCCGCTTGTTGGAAGCCAGTTGTGAAGCACACAAATAGCGATCACATAACTGCGGGACACTGCAACAGTTGTAAATGCGCACTGGCTGCAAAGTGTCTGAATGGCGATCATGTGACCATGGGACACTGAGACAGTTGTAAATGTGAGGACTGGTTGCAAAGCTGTTTTTTAACACTGTTGTAACTTCAAACAGTCACTAAACAAGGCAGTCCATAAGTGAGGACTACCTGTATGACATTTTGTAAGCCTGAGAAATCTCTTGGGAAAGAAAAGTTCCTATGTTTTTCCTAAAGACATATAGTTTAGATTCAAAACTGACACAAGGGACTTCAGTCATGTCCAGCTCTGTCAAATAAACACAAACACAAACAAACCTCCAGCCACAAACTCACATCTGTGCAATGTTGTACTTGAAACATTTGGATGTGGAGAAGATGCAGTGTTCCATAAGGAAGTCCTCTTCTCCAATACGAACAGCCATGAACAATCACCAGGTAACTTGAGGTATTCACTTAAACTGTGCGTACTGATTCCTGAACAGGTTGCTGGTTGAAAGATGAAGGGTGAATAAGCAAGGAAGACTTAATGGCCCGCTCGTGGGGTTCAGAGGGTATCTCACTGCCAACTGTTAGAAATTGAAGGATAGCATATAAATGGGTCCTTGGTCCTGTCCAGTAAGGCGATTCTCATGGAAAGTTTAATATTGCACTCCTTTCCTTGCAGATCCTAGTGGGAGGTCTGTCATTCTCTCCAGGCACCCTACACATCTATCCTGAGGCAGCCTTGCCTTTGCCAGCTCTAGTTGGCTTAGGGGCAGGAGGAAGCCTCCTTCTGGGGGCTATCATTGGGGTGCTGGTAGCCTATAAACGGAAGACACGGGATGCAGATCGTACTCTGAAGCGCCTGCAGCTGCAGATGGACAACCTAGAGTCACGGGTAGCTCTGGAATGCAAGGAAGGTACTGAGGGGAGTGGAAGTTGAAGGAAACGCAATAAAACTGTCGAGAAGTAGTCAGAGAAAGAGGGAGGGGCATTGTCTTTGTTTCCAAGGCTGGAACATTTCATCAATGTCTCCATTGGCATACAGCCCTGACTGGCGTCATATTCACAGATGCAGTTCACATGCATCATAGCAAATAGTCTAGGATGTTTCCCAACTCCTCAAAACATCAAGGCTTATTCTCCAGCCACTTTGGTTTGCCTCTTGTAGAGGGATCTTTTTTCTTTCCATTCCTATGTTAAAATGTATTTCGTAGAGCCACAAAGTCATGGAAGAATCCTTACTGTTTCATTCCCTCTTCAGCTCTCCCAAGAGTTAAACTTTGGCAAGGGAGGGGGAAAGAGGCACCTTGGCTTCCACGCACATGCGTATGTGATAGGCCAAGTGCACCAGATGGGACTCACACATTGGAGAAATCCAAGCCAATATCCTTTCCTTTGCAGTGTGGCAGTGCCTTACCTTCACTAATGAAAGTGAACAGCCCACAAAACTAGACAGTAGACAATGTACCGGGTGAGACACAAAGTGAATACAGACAAACCAATATATTTTTCTTTGCAGTGTGGGAATGCTTTACCTTTACTTCACTAGCAAAAGCTGCCACATTCTACTATGCAACTGCGTATCGTCCTTTACGTTGGCTTTGATGATACCAAGAGATAAATGGTCTGATGTCACCTTGAATTTTTTCCCTGAAAATCGTGGGGGGGGGGGCAGTGGGGAGGTTCTGCTTAGACAAACTCCCTATTTAGCACTCCTTAAATTTGTAAAAAGAAAAAAAACATGGCTGTGTTGTAAATTTGTTTGCACAGAAAAATAAAGATGGGTATTTTGGAGGAAAAAGATGCACATACTGAAAAGCAGAATGCCAGTGGTAGTACTTTATTTTCATGCCTCTCACACATACGAGCACACACACACACGCTGTCCCAAGGGAACATCTTACAAGACTAACCCAAGGAACTTGACTGCCTGGGGGAGTGCATCAAATGGCATTCTCACTTCAGATGCATAGTATCCAAGACCGACTGTTAGACAGCCTGAGGCAGAAGATCCCACAAGCCTCTTTACCCCTCCTTGGCAGGAAAAAATACTGTACGCTAATAATGCCTTAAAAATGGGGGAGGGGACCATGACACTCCAGTCAGTTTGAGGCAGCTCTGCCTAATGATAAGGCTCAGTTTTCAGGCCAGAATGCTTTAGAGTAAAGGAAGAGCAAGCAGAAAAAAGACCTTGAGGTATGTTATATCACATGTGTGAGCCATTATTCCAGTCTAAAATGGTAGAAGGTGCCCATGAGGCGGCCTAATGTGCATAAAGGAAGGATGTGACATGGTTGCAGTTGGCGTGTGGTCTCGAAGGAGAAATGAAGTCTGAGAATTTAGATTCTTTTACAAGAAGCCTCGATTAGGCCAAAACAGCTTAGCATATGCCTGTTACATGTAATCATGAGTTGCCAAAATATGCATATACAATGATTAAGCAGGATGATCTGCAGTCTTTTTTATGCAAAATATACCTGTTCATTTTTGCTGCATCTGAATCAAGCCTGATTTGATGAGGCAGGGCTACTGCGGGATAAGGATGGTGTGGTGGTTAATTCTTTGGCTCCTTTAATGTCAAAAGCTGGTTGAGGGGCAGAGTGGAGAGGATCGGCCCACTCTGCACATAACAACACTTTTAACAGTCTTCTACCTTCTTCAGCTTTTGCTGAGTTGCAGACAGATATAAATGAGCTGACAAACAACATGGATGGAGTGAAGATCCCATTCCTGGATTATCGGACATATGCAAGGCGTGTGCTCTTTCCAGGGGTGGATGATCACCCAGCACTGCAAGAAACTAGTGTGAGTGCATGACATAAAGGATGAGACCTGGGTGACATGTTTTCTCTTAATATTTGTCTTAACAATAATATTAAGTTGGGGATAAATTGAGCTATAGAGAATTGGTTTATCCTGAGGTTTGGTACACTGAGGTCTTTCCATTTCAATATCTCTGTCTCCTGAACTTGTCTGTTCAGATGCTTGTTCCTGGGGTTGTTGGGGCTGATTCTGCTCTTGATATGATGGATCTAGGATTCCCTGCTTTTCATAGACCAGCACAGAGACCCCTTTAGTTTGTAGATAATGGCCATCAAGCTGAACTTCTTATTGATCTTCATTTCCACTCTTGTTAGCACTACAAAGGCTTTGTTCAAAAGCAATATACTTAATAGTACTAAAGGGTGGAGGCAAACAGGGGAAAGCTTCATATTTCATGAGCCCTATCTATCTGTCTACCTCAGGGCTACTAGAAATGAAGTGGTATGATCCAGCAAGGCAGTCTGCATGTTCCAAAGATCATAGAGGTGGAACGGGTGTGTGAGGTCAAGGGCATATCAAAAGACTTTCCCAGTTGTGAGCAACATCTAGCCAATGGCATGTGGAAAGCTACAAGGAATATTTTGTGATTGCCTGTGCTAGCCATGTTGTCATATTGGCTTAGGGAGGGGTTTCTGTTTTCTTGCCTCTGCAGACACCACCAAGCACAGAGAAAGGGCTCCGACTCTTTGGGCAGTTGCTGCACACTCGGCCTTTCCTGCTGACCTTCATCCACACCCTGGAAGGCCAGCGAGGTTTCTCCATGCGAGATAGAGGCGCTGTTGCTTCTCTGACAATGGTGGCCCTGCAGGGCAGGCTTGACTATGCTACTGGGGTGCTGAAGCAGCTGCTGGCTGACCTCATTGAGAAGAATCTGCAGAACCGTGCCCATCCCAAGCTGTTGCTCCGTCGGTGCGAGACCTTCTTTGATTCCCATGCCCCTCTCCTCCTGGTCCCATTGAATGTTGCTGTTTAATACTTAAATTGGCAACAAGGATGAACAGTGTATGAGTCTGTATTATCAACAATATTCTTGGGATAGTCAGAACACAAGTTTCAGATACAATATTAGAAGAGTAGAGAGATCTTCACTTCACAAAACACTACTGCAGGCATAAGGGACTTCTTCCATCTCACAGTCACAAGCGATGGTGCTTTGTCTCTCTCTTGTTCCAGGACGGAGTCAGTGGCTGAAAAAATGTTGACCAATTGGTTTACTTTTCTGCTGCATAGGTTCCTCAAGGTAAGAGTGCCTGAAAACTGGACTCATGGACCTTTGAGTCTTCAGACTTATTCTGTCACAACCCTGACATCATTAATTTCATCAGTTTAATGGTAGCCTCTGCCCAGTGGGACATAGGGACATTTGAGAGAAAATTTTGGGTGTTGAGGAAGCAGCAGTTATTCAGTGGTAGAACGTATGCCTTGAATGTGGAAGACCTTAATCCTTGGGGCTTTCCTTAAAAAAGAACAGAAAGAGCTGATGAGAATAGAAGATACAGAGCTAGGTGTACAAATGATCTGACTTGCTGTATGCAAGGTTTCCTGCTTCAAGCTTGTCTCTTCCTTCCCTAGGAGTGTGCTGGGGAGCCACTGTTCATGCTGTTCTGTGCTATTAAGCAGCAGATGGAGAAAGGCCCAATAGATGCCATCACAGGCGAGGCGCGCTACTCGTTGAGCGAGGACAAGCTCATTCGCCAACAGATTGATTACAAGACCTTGGTGAGCTTAGGGGGTGGCAACAGAAGCATTTTGCTGCCTTGCAGCCAGGGAGCCAATTGCATATTCCACTTCAGTAAAGCATTGCTATATGTGTAAGAAGGGGCTTGTTAGCTAAGTCATTCTAGCTTGCAATCCTGGCTTGGAGGAATCTTTGCCACCAGATTAATTAAGCATTCTCATTTTGTAACAACTGGAAACCTTCCTAAGTGGGTTGATAACTTAATTTCAAAATGGGGGACCAGCCTAGAGGAAGCAGAGCTGTGGATAGAGCTGGGAATTATGGGTGATGTACCATGAAAGATTACATTGTGCAAAATACCATAAAGCTATAGAGAACTGGGATTTGATTTGGTGTTCTGCAAGATGCTTCATGCTGGGCTGTAGCTAAGGGAGAGGCAACAGGTACTACTTACAGACAGCTGGTTGGGAAGATAAAACAGGCTCTTTAACAAAGTAACAGAGTCTTTTGTCCTTCTGTGAATAGGTCTCCTCTGTTTTCACTTTCACAAACACCAAATGCAATTCTGTTAACTACATCCATATTGGGCAGTAATAGAATTTTTAAAACACTGAACTTGGCTATTTTTCCTTAGCTATGGAAGCTGGGAGAAGTGGGATAGTTTCTTCTCATTCCAGATCCCAGATCTGTGGGTGTGCATAAATGTGTATCTTTATTATGATTTAAAATGAGCAGATTTATTTTCCTCGCTAGACGTTGTTATGTACCCCTCCTGAGCCACCCGGGGGACCTGCAGTGCCTGTCAAAGTATTAAACTGTGACTCGGTGACACAAGTGAAGGAGAAGCTGCTGGATGCTGTATATCGAGGGGTACCCTATTCGCAGCGCCCACGAGCTGAAGACATGGAGCTAGGTATGAAGGCAGGAACATGGCAGAAAGTAGGTGGGGTTGTGAGCATGGAATGGACCTGGGTAATCAGCCACTGGCTTGAATTGTAACTGTCAACTGTCTTCCCACTGGTCTTCCGGTTTATCCCAGAGTGGTGTCAGGGTGCTGGGGGCCGGACCATCTTGCAGGATGAAGATGCCACAAGTAAAATTGAGGGAGACTGGAAACGGCTCAACACGTTGGGACATTATCAGGTATTTGCCTTCCTTACCCATTTCTGGGCTAAATTAACTGTCTTAGTATGTATGCTGCAGTTCAGGACTGTTAGATACACTACTGAGGTTTTTAGTTTTGTGAGTGTACAGTTTTAGCTTCCTTTTAAAGTTCTGAGTAGCTTGTATTATAATAGTCATGCGTACCAGAATATTGCCAGCACCCAACACACTATGAAGAATCCTTTGGTCACCACTAGAGTAGAACCATTGGGATCAAGAGGGGGAAGCTGAGCCTCTATGAGTAAAGACCACAGAATGGCGCTTGGTTTTGGATTAAGATTTACCTCAAGGTGTTACCCTTAGTAGTCTTTAGGTGCCTCAGAGTCGATCTTCATGCTGCGGGTTTGTTCTTACATATTTACTTAGAAACTGCTAAAGTTATGAACTAAAAAGCTTCCTGTTCAGCTTTCGGTTCCATCATAAACTTGATCAGAGGGTTTTGCCCAAACTAGCGTTCTCTTAGCCTCCCCAATGTTTGTGTGAGTGAGTGCACAGATACAGTGATGATAGAAAGTTAGTGATCCCTTTACAACTGTCTGTAATCCTGAACTACTGTCACCTACGGTGTCATCTGAGTCCTAGTAACAGATGAAGATACCGTAATTAAACAGCCAAGATGAAGCTCAGATCACGTTGTGTGGGTCACAGTATTTATGGACAACTATTTATTTATTGACAAATATTGGCATGCTGCATATTCTCTTGATTGCATGATTACAGATAGTTCTAAAAACTTCACAAACTTTCTCTCACCACTGTATACTTAGTCTACTCTCTGGTATGTGAGTAATGATTCTGGCCTAATTTACAGAGTTAGGAATGACTGTGCAAAATGCACTGAAAGTTTGTATGGTGCTATATTGATGCTAAGCATTATTAATGTTACTAATTGGCCAGCATTCTTTTTTCTTCCCTTCCCTTCCCCCACCCCAATCCACCTTATCTTTAAACCCACCTCTTCCCCCTTCCACTCCTGCCGTCCCTGCAATTTAACATGCAGGTAACAGATGGCTCCACGGTGGCCTTGGTTCCTAGGCAGGCCTCAGGCTACAATATTGCAGGCTCCTTCACTTTCACCCATTCGCTGAGTCGCTATGGTAAGGAATGGTACCTTCCCCCACCCCGGATCTTCACCACCACAGAGAGGCACGTCTGCCCTGAGTGACTTGCGTACCCTGAATTTCTCCCCAACAGCGTAACATAACATTGCAAAGAAATGTTTAATCCAGCTCAGGTCTGGAGGTACCATCTCTAAAGCAGAGCGGGGCTGACTGTGGGTTATGTGTTGCCTGGACCTCTGCCAAAGTGTCATCTGTGGTGGGTTGCCCCTTTGAAAAGATTATCTGTATTTTCAAAAGATGCCTGGGCAAGGGAAGAATCCATTTTTCTTGCCCAGGGAGGAAGAAAGCAGCATGGGTAACAGAGGGAGGAAATATGGGTGTAGATGGCCTCACTCAGAGTGGAATCTTCAACAGGTTCCCAAGGGATTTAAGTGGGTGGATAGAGACTAGGGCTATGCAGAGATCCAGATTCAAATATTGTTTGGGGGCAGATGTGGGCATGCCCATGGCACCTTCCAGTCATGCCTGTTCCCAAGACATGTTCCATATATGGGGTATAACTTGCAGGAACTGTTTAAAAATGTATGCTGGAGCAGTCCAGACTTTCTGACCAAGGAACTGAATTCTGCAATCTGTATAAATTATACAAATTTTCATCCTTTCTCATTTTTTAAAACTTTCCAGCCACTGAAAATTTTATTCAGATTTATCAGATATTACTTTACGCTGTTAAGGCTATTAGTATAAACATAAGCAGTAGAAATTTGCTTGAAAGTAAGAAAGTTGAGATTCCGGGATGCTATATTCTCCACCTTCTGGGCTTGTTCTTAATTCCTGCTGAGCTGCAGTATGTTTGTCCTTCTTGAAATTGGAAGGAATACCCTTGCAGTTGTACATTCTGGCATTTGGGACTTGTTTTCAGGATACAGCCTTTCCTGTCTGTTGGCTGTCATGATATTATCCTCCATCTTTTGTCTGAGCCCTCATAAACTGAGATTGTAGTTTTGTGCAGATGAGCCTCCTGTCTTTGCCTTTTTATCCATGTGATCTGGCATGCAGAGGCATCTGCTCTCTCCCTGTCATGTACACGTAGGCTTTATATGGTGCTTTGTATGCTTCTTTGCGTGTGAAGGGCTATCTCCATCCTATGTGTTTAGCAGCCCTGCAAACCTGAGATCTTCCCTGGCTTGCCCCTCTTCTCTTAACCCAAGGAAGGTATCAGTCCTACCATGAGCAGTCCTTGACAAGCAACTCTTGCCACGTCTGAATTTTATAACCCTGGGCTTCCTCCCAGCATTATCCTGGCCTAGCTGTAATTTTCATTGCTATTCCAGGCATGGAATGTCTATAATTTTACAGCCACTCCCATTTTGTGGTCGGAGAGGAAGGGGTATACTTTACTTGGCCCCTGGAGGGTAAGGATGATGGTAGTAGTGGTTCTGCTTAGATTTCAGGCACTGAGCCTGAAAAGGGGAAAAAAAACAACCCTCCCCTCTTTTCTGGATATAGAGAAGGATTTTTTTGAAGTATAATCAGGGCTGGAAGGCTGGCTCTTTGGCCCAGGACTGAATTGAGCAAACTCAAGGTGGTTTCTTTTCTCATCCCTCCCAATCCCTGCAGAGAGTTTGTTGCGCACCTCCAGCAGCCCAGAGAGCTTGCGCTCACGAGCTCCCATCCTCACTCCAGATCAGGATTCAGGCACCCGCCTCTGGCATCTGGTCAAGAACCACGAGCATCTCGGAGACCCTAAGGAAGGGGAGCGAGGGAGCAAGATGGTTTCTGAGATCTACCTCACCCGGCTCCTTGCCACCAAGGTATGGTTGGCAAAGAACTGGATCTCTGAGTTAGTAAACAGGTTTACTCTTCACCTTACATCTGAAGTGGAGGCATTCAGGCAAGATATTCGAAGTCTAAATCAACCCTTAATTGATGTCTTTCCTTGGAAGATAAGGAATTACACAATTTCAGATCCAGTCCTTTAATAGTTGACCAGGAGGTTTTTCAGCCTTTGTTAGCTCTAGAACTCTTGCCTTGAACAAAACTTTCCTGAAGAGGCATTTCTCCATTTCCCTGTTTCAGTTTTGGTTCAGTCTTGCCAAGCTCTTCACAGAGATAGGCTGAACTTCCCTTCTGTACAGAACATTTTTTAGTCTACCTCCTGTCTAGCTGCAGGAGCATGATAATTGGTTCCTTTGCTTTGGACCCTGTGGCTAATCTGCCACACTTCCAATGTTTGCCACCTGACATCTACATTCAGTTTCAGGTGCTTTATTGACACTGTGTGCAACATGAGATCTGGCAAAATCAAAGCTGTAAATTATCAGGTAGTGAAGAAGAAAAGCAAGTATCATTTGAGGTCTGAATGGTACTTGTGTATATTTGTGTTCTGTCACTCTCTGTGCTTGATTTAATTACATTATTGTTATCTGGTACTTTGTTGTAATATATTTTGGTAATATGTAGTGATGCTATCAAGATCCTCACAGAGCAGTCATTCCCATGGTACATTGGAGAAGCAGCAATAATTTAAATTGATGTGAAAGTGGCCTCTGTTGAAATGTAGATGCAATTTAAGCTTGTGGATTGTGAAGGAATTAATGTTATAGTTCCAAATCAGGGACATTTTGATATAGATTTATAGTCAAACTCTAGTAAGAGAATACAAGAGGAGCTAGGAAAGAATTATCTGAAGCAGAATACTGAGACTTGTTATTTTTCTGGGAAATATTGAGATTAAATTTATTCTCTTACAGCTGTGTACTCCTTTTATTTACCGTGAGATCCCAATAAGGACCCTTGAATTTGCAAAATTAATGATTTTCCCTTTGCATAATTTAGGAAGCTATTTTATATGCACTGATCTACACATTGTGTGGGAGTTTAAGATCATATGGTATTGAGGAGCCAATGGAAAAATGGGCCAGTTTGGGCATCTGGTGGAAGTAATGGGTGACAAATGGAATGTGCTCTTGATGATTGCAAAATTGGCTTTGCCAAAGGAGGTGTGTGCATTACTTCAATCTGGTAATGAAACTGCCATTTTCAGGATTCTGGAAGAGCTTCTCAGTTGTAGTCTCTATGGCATAGTCATATTGGGATAGATACTCCTAGATTCAAACTATGGTCAGCCTCTACCCTGCCAGTTGTTCTACCCACCTAGTTTAAGGGAGAATTTACCATTATTGATCATTTATGCTATTCTTGTTTGGTGGGATTTTGGAACCCTTAATGGTGGGGGGGGGGATTAAGTTAGGAAAGGCAGCTGTGATCTCCCCAGTTTAACAGGTTCTTTCCAACCACCTCAAAAGACATTTTCCAGCAATATTTGTCTTTTCCAGGGCACATTGCAAAAGTTTGTAGATGACCTGTTTGAGACAGTGTTCAGCACAGCACACCGGGCCAGTGCCCTTCCCCTGCCCATCAAATACATGTTTGACTTCCTGGATGAACAGGCAGAGCGGAGACAGATTGGTGATCCTGATGTTCGACATACCTGGAAAAGCAACTGGTGAGAATTCTGCATTTTGGTCCCTTGTCAACACATGCTATGGCTCTAAATCAGTGATCCACAGCTGGAAACCCATAGGCTTAGCATGGCTATAAGTATCTGTCAATCTGCCTAACCCAGAATTGAGCAGATGTTTCCCAGAATTCACACAACTTAAAACAAAACCACTCCACCCTTCAGAAGCATCTAGTGTAACAATGGAACTGAACATCAGCCTCTAACTCCCTTTCATGTTCTCTTCTCCTTGAGATAGATCCTTTGGCTCAAAGTGATAGCAATTCTTCCAATACCAATGTCTCATACTTCTTACCTCTTCTCAATTCTAGTTTGCCCTTGAGGTTTTGGGTGAATGTCATCAAGAACCCACAATTTGTTTTTGATATTCACAAGAGCAGCATCACGGACGCTTGTCTCTCCGTTGTGGCCCAGACCTTCATGGACTCGTGCTCTACCTCTGAGCACCGTCTGGGCAAGGATTCCCCTTCGACAAAGCTGTTATATGCCAAGGACATTCCTGTTTATAAAGGCTGGGTGGAAAGGTGAGCTTCTGGGTGAGGGGAAAATATGGATGATGACACTACAGTTGGCAAAGAGTTGGCAGATCATTTCCCTTTCTAGGAAATGGAAATTGTACCATCTCCAGATCATAGGCTGCATATGCATGGCACACTAACTCCTGCTTAACAAAATACAATTGTTCTGTTCACGTTATATGTTGTATTCAAACAAATAAACTACCTTACATGATAATATGATGATCTAGGTCACACAACATGCTAAAGCAATGGCTGGGTTTCCATAACATGGAATCACAAGCTAGCCAACTGCATTTAGCTTAGTCTTATCATGTTGTGTGAACCCAACCAGCATTTATAACAAGATCTGATCCTGCTTGATTGTATCACTAAAAGAAATGTGATATATGACCTCCTCTTCCTTCCATTGCATAGAAGATGGAAGGGGGCTGTTTTGCAGTAGCAATTAAGACAATATGGCAGGAGAATTATGTGTGAGGTGCTGGGTTACTATAATTGGACTTTGTCTTGACCAAAAAGATGGCTGGCAACACTGCCTCATGCTCAATGTCCTCAGCAGCCTGATTCATGGGTAATCATTGATGGTCTGTATAGACCTGGGCCATTACATGATTTCACAGGAACGAGGTACCAAGCAGTCAAGTTAGTTTTCTCTATGTTTGTACAGAATATTCATCCTCCAACCATAGTTGTTAAGAATCAGTTGTATGGCTTCCTGCAGTTTTGAGATAAGGAACATGAAAATTACTCTATATGCTTTAAAATGGGCAAAAAAAAAAAAAAAAAGACCAGACCTGTCAACTGTTTTATGTGCTAATAGAAGGGAAGTCATATGAAAAACAACTGACATTGCCTCATATATACAACCCTTTAGGTTCATATGGTTTATTTTGACTAATAACAGTGTTTGAGGAACTAGAGCTAGAGGCTTTTCCCCTGATCACATGCCACTAACTAGGATCTTCTGCATGCAGAGCTTATCTTCTGCCAGTGAACTAAGGCCTATCCCAGACTGGATGATGAATGCCACCAACACAGATCTAGAGGTTACCCCATTTGTAGGGAATGGAGCTAGCAAGGCAGGAATCAACAATTTCCATGCTAGAAAGACTGTTATGTCAGCACAGATCAGGTGCCTTCTGAGGCCATCAAGAGAAGGCCAAGTATCTATTGACTCAGAAAAGTAGGAGCGAAAAAGCCTAGAGTTTAAATCTTGGAGTATCGATTTATATAAACTTTGATTTATCTGCGTATATGGCTTCAGTCTTGTCTGCAGTAAAGAGATTAATCTTGCCGAGTCGTGTTTGTGAGCCTTCAGCCAAATAAGCCAATTATAGAATAAGGGGTTACTTGTCTGGAGAGCCAAGATTTACAGCTATGGCTGTGTGAAGCTTGACACTGTCCAGAAATTATAGCAAAAGAATTTATCCACATAATCCATGATAAATCTGTCCAACTTTCCCTAACCTGGGCCGACCAATTCCCCAAATTTCCCAACCAGTGTAGACAGTGCTGAGAATTTGAGAAGTCTTTTCACATATTGGGAGAGTGTCGTAATTGGGGAAGGCTAATTGATAGGTTTAGACGCTGCTTTGGTATTCTTCCTTACAATTTTAATTTTGAGGTGGGGAGTGAATGACCATATTAAAAATATACACAATTCATTTCTAGGACCTATGTGGAAACATTTGTAATAGCATGCTGTACACTGCATTAAAGATTAAGGAATTATAGGGAAGAATGTGTCCAAGTGTAGTATCTTCTACATGTTTTTTGGAGTACACCGTCCATTATCTTTGACAACTGGCCATGATCAAAGCTGATGCTGTCTAAAACATGTAGAGAGGGCTGAATGAAGATTGAATTGTTCCAGGTTGCGGCACTGTAGTTCCTTGATGCTCCTTTTGACTGCTTTTCTGTCTTATCCCAATGCTCCTGGAGCTATTGCAGCTCTCCCTGCCAGATACCAAATTTGGCATCTATTGTCCCCCCCCCCCCGGCTACCTCAAGTTTGCATGCCAGACTAATTATTAAAATCAATGTTTATCCAAATATGCCATTTATGCATTATTTGAGCTAAGTATTTCAGATAGTGCAGCTGAGTATCAAGGATGTTGTTTGCTAAATTTGTATGCTGGCTGTCCATTGGTGTGCTCAAGGCAAAAATCAATTACGATGAATCAAGAAAAGTAGAATTGTTTTGATGTTTTTAATGTTCATAAGCAGTTTGTTTAGGATTGTGCTTGTTTTTTTCTCTACTGAGATGAGAGGGTCAATTAGGCAGGGTCACCTACTATATCTGCAGGTATATGAAATCCTAAAACAATATTTTGTCTCCATGTTCTAGGTACTACCGGGATATCACCAAGATGGCTTCCATTAGTGACCAAGACATGGATGCCTACCTAGTAGAGCAATCCCGTCAGCATGCAGGGGAATTTAACACATTGGGTGCACTGGGAGAACTCTACAGCTATGTGGGAAGGTACCGTGATGAGGTGAGGCTATGGTTAGGTCGCAACTTTTCCTTTCCCCTTCCCCTTCCGAACCAGTCTGCAAATCCCCATCAGCTCTCGAGGGAGTTACCAACTATACATCTCATGAGGGCAGAGCCTCATTTGCACCTTGTGTGGCAGAGAACTTTTCTTGTTCAGTGGAGAGCGAGTGGCATCTAAACTTGTGCCTGATTAGATGTGTTCTCTGCTAGCCTCTACTTCTGTTCAATTCTCAGGCCTCTCATAAAATTAGTCCTACGGTTCAATAGCCAAGGGATGATTTACAGCATTGGAGAAGATACTGTGACAATGGAGTCTTACCCTTTCTACCCTCTCCGCCCTTCCATCCATTTCCCTCTTCTTTTTAGTTTTCCCCTCTATGTCTGTCATGCTTTCACCTCTTGTAAATAGGTGTGTCAGCTTTTAGAGGGAGGGTCTTGTTTTACAGATGGTTTAATCCTAAGAAGCAAAAGAAATCTGTGGATCTATCCTAGGGAAGGAAGCCTCTCTTAAATTGGTTTCCAACACACTGACTCCAGCCTAAAACTCCATCATAGTAAGCGGGCAAATCTTGTCAGCCTCTTTTACCCCTTGTCCTTCAACATCCCTTTCCAATTTTACTGGATATTTCTCCGTCCTTGTCCCTTGATCTTATACCCCATTTTGCCCCTGGGAGTTTGGGGCTTAGCTCCTCCCGGCCTCTTTTGCCTTTCTCTCTCTGTTCCTCCCCTTGATCTGAACCTTTTGTTTCCGATCTCTCCCCCCTCCCCGCCCCGCCCCCAGATCCTGACGGCGTTGGAACGGGATGCTGCCTGCCGGAAACACAAACTGAGGCTGAAGCTGGAGCAAGTCACCACTCTTGTTTCTGGAACAAGCTGAGGATGCTGGGAGGGGGCAGGAGGGCAAAGGGAGGGGGCAGCAGGCATCCAGGATAGGTGCCTCCAAAGGGACTCTACCTCCAACTTGGCTTGTGGCCCCACAAAGGGGAACAGACTTGACCTTTTGAACCCCCCCAGGGGCAAGAGACCCGTGACCTTTTCCCCTGGGGTGGCCGAAAGCCTCGATGGTGCCTCCCCTCTCCAGCCTTCAGTCTGGAAGCAATAACAAGCACCCGCTCCTCTGCCTCTGCCTTGGGAGGGGCCACCCGGAATAAGCAATGAGGTTGGGGTGCAGCCTGATGATGCCCCCTCCCCCTCAAGCTGGCAGCTAAATGGAAACCCCCTCACCCCAAATGTTTGTGGACCCCTTCCTTCAATCATACCGATCATCCCCTAATCCCCACTCCTTGTTGGTAGCTGGTGGAATCTGCCCTTGTTCTGTTTTTGGTAACCATGGCAATTGGATATTTTTAATCTTACCTGACAATGCTCCCCCCTCCCAAACATTCACTCCTATCCCACCTGTTGTGCCCTCACTGGGTGCAGTGCCTTACTCATTAATTTATTATTGCATCTTGTTAAGATTATTGGCTGTAAATGATTCCATTCCCTGGGTGTAGAGATTTCAGTGTAAAAAGTCCTCCATCCCACCCACCCCTGGCCCTTTCGTTCTTAGAGTCTGTGTAAATATTTGCACTGCAGCCTGGAGGGATTCAGTCCCCCACTCCTCCCAAAAATAAAATAAAATAAAATAAAATAAAATGAAATGAAATAAAAATAAGAATAAAAGAATCCCCCATCAGGGATTAAGGAATCCGGGTGGGGTGGGGAATGCCCCTGCAGCAGCACGGGCTTTTTATTGGTTCATTTTATAATTACTTTTTCTTTTGCTAAATAAAAGCCTGGAAAAAATGTTGTTCTTGATATGATGTGAAGGGATTGGGGGAAATGCCAGAAAAGAGGAATCCCAAGGAAACAGGCCCCATCCTTTTGCATTCCAGTATTACAAGGAGATATTTTGGACACGACATCCCCACGTGCAGCCTTTTCACCGTCTACCATATGTGGTTTTTCTTTTGGATTGCACCTAAAGTGTGAGATAATGCCAGTTCATTTAGGCATTAAAAATGTTGCTTTTTTACAGTGTAATTCCAGCTGATCCATCTGCCTGCATCATATTTTTCTTTTCTCCCAGCTGCTTAACCCTTTTTAATCACTGAATGTGTTTGCTGCCACTAATTTGCTTGTACATACAGAACAAGAAGACACATAACTTTAAATACCCATTCTTGATTGGGCTGGTTTGGGCTGTTAAGTCACCTTTCCAAATGTGTCTACCAGAATCTTTAAGGATATGTATTGGTCATGAACGGGTTATGTGTTTGCTGCACAAAGTGGGGAGCCTGTTGAACCTTGAGAGGGACTGGGAATTCCTCTGTTGAAGTCCTGGACTGGCCTCCAAGTACCATGTGAATTGGGGTGAGATGAGATGGGCTGTACCACTTCTGATGGTTGGTCGACGACGGAATTTACTAACATCTTTCCATATATAAAACACCTCTCTAGGAAAATGTAACATTAACATAGCAGGGCAAAAGTTCTAGCTCAGATAACTGCCAACTGGGCTAATTTTCTATTTGCAAAGAGTTATTTTAAAAAGAGAGAGAGAAAAAAAACAGTTTTAAAAAGTGTTCATCTACCTCAGATCTGTTTTATCAGGTCAGCTTTCCACCACTCTCACTGCATCACATCGGGACCAAGTTGCTTCCATTCTTGTATATGGATTTGCTGTCCATCATTCACTCTCTTTCTGTAGAGACCCAAACGATAAAAATTGCCAACAACATTTCAATATATTCCTGTATTGCCTTCCCACCTTTTAAAGAACTTTTAGTTGTTGGGTTGTTGTTTTTTTTAATGTGATTGCCTTACCAGCCTATCTGATATGTGAACCGATAAAGTGCTGTTAGGTTTTTTATGCTTTTGTGCCTTTAATTAGCAGTCTCCCCTTTACAGCTTCTGCTCCTTGTTTCAATGTGGGGGATAACATTACTGAACAATAGCAATAATTTATTCCCTGAAAGAGGGGAAGAACTTCATGGTTGACTTCTCTTTCTCTCTTTTTGTTCACTTTATAGTGTTATAGTAATAAAAAAATAAAAATAAAATTATTCATTAAAGCGCCTCCAAACAGAAACCAAGAGACAATTAATGTATAGGCGTAATGCCACTGTTATTGCAGCAGTTGGAACATTGGGCAGAAATTGCCAGAAGGAAACTTCTAATTAAAGCTGTAGAAACTGGTGTTGTGGGAGAATATAGTACAGTACTAAATTAAGTGTGCTGTGGAACCATTGTTTTAATTTCAGTTTCATGTGCTGCAAAAAAACAAAACAATTGCTCAATAGCACTAGGGAGGTCGAGTGTGAAAACAATCTGAGTTGTTTCAATTACATAGAAATGTAGCTCTGCTTTATGCTTCATCTCTTATCACAGATGTTTGTGCACTTCCATATGTTTATTTTTCTAGCATTTATATGTACATCCTTGCTGGTTCAGTGTCCATTGAATTAAAAGTTACCCATTGCTGCTGGGGTGCCATTGCTTCTGTTGTTTAGTTGTTCTGAGACAGTTTCCCTGCTAACTAGTTATCCAGGCATTTTCTTAATTTTAAGCCCTCTTAAACTTTTTGGGCACCAGTTACTCACCCTGCATAGCAGTGTTAGCTGTCTTCTGGCATGTACCTTTTCAGTTTGTCCAAGAGCAATATTTGAGCGCCAAAAGCAAAAGGCAATTTATTCTGGACTAAAATAAGAGCACAGGATAACAGAGCCAACTCTGGAAGAATAATTAGCCATAGATAACTTTAGCTAACTAACACCTCTTCTGTATGGTTCATTATCAGATGTTTCATTACCTATCCCAGTATTTACAGAAACCAAAGAGTCAGGGTATGTGTGAGGTTGTAGCGTCTGTGTAGAAGGTTGAGAAGCAAAGCTGCGGCCTTGTTTCAAAATGAGAAAATGAAATGTTACAGAAAGGAATACCACTTTCCTCGACAGTATGTATAAGCGTGCAACCTCTGCTTATACAAACAGGGACCCCCCAAAAATTGTATAGATAGTTTTCAGCTCTTGAAATAAAATGTTCTGCTGGTTACATGGAGCCTAAGGCAGAATCCAGCACTTAATCTCTCTGTTCGCCTACAGTATGCAGTTTGGTAGTGGTGATGGTAGTTTTTAAAAAAATAGGAGAAAAAAATATTTGGTCTGCTTCTCCCTCCTCTGACTCCAATCAATTGGCAACCTGTATTACTCAGAGACCTTTTTCTGGAGCAGTTCCTGCCCTCTATTCTTCTGTTTGCTGTTACAATACTGTACTGTATAAAGCACTGTTTCTCAACCTTAGCCACTTTAAGATATGTGGACTTCAACTCCCAGAATTCCTCAGCTAGCCATGCTGGCTGGGGA